TTAAATGAAAAAAGATTTAGTTTAAAACTCACGTGAGCAGCTGTATAGAATTTTCACATACACTGAAATGATAAATTATTTTTAAATAACATGAATAAGTGACAAGACTCAGTTGAGGCGCAGTAATAAACTGGTGATTTTAAAATAATGAATTATTTTAAAATAACATGAAGCAATGCAAGACTCACGTGAGTAGCAATAATAAAACTTTTATAAATATTAATAATAATAATCATTATTTAAAAAGGTTTAAAACTTACGCAACCAGAAGTAATAAAACGTTTATATAAATATTAATATCCATTATCATTATTTAAATAAGTTCAAAACATACGTAACCAAAAGTAAAAAACCTATTATATGTATATATAAATATTAATAACTATTATTTGCATAAGTCCAAGACTCACGCGAGCAGCAGACGTGTTGTCAGGACCGCTGCACAAGACATAGTGAGGGTAAGACTGAGGGTTAACTTTAAGGGGTAACATTTTGGGGGTTACCCTTACTAGGTGAGGGTAACCCTTTAGGGGCGAGGGTAACATTAAGAGCCGAGGGCACCCCTCTTATCATGCACCCCTCAGCCCGGGGTGCACTCGACCAGAACGGAGGGGACTTCGGCCTATTTTAAAGTACTCTACAAGATAAAATATCAGATATACTGTGATCATATTAGTAAAACTCACACATTAATAAAATATATTATATAAATACTGACCTCCTATCTTATAAATGATACTTTATCAAAAGCAAGCAACGTGATTTATAACTGGGATCTAAACAAACGCATTGCGCCTTCCAAACAATATCAAAATTTTACAAATTTCTATTTTAAAGTTCTCTACAAGATAATATATCAGATATATTGTTATCATATTAGTAAAAGTCACACATTATTAAAATATATGATATAAATACTGACCTCCTATCATTATAAATGATTCCTCATATAAGTCAAGGCTAGAAATCTTATCATCCTATCATTTCAACTTATACGTTATTTAAAACTGGGATCTAAAGAAACATATTGCACCATCTAAACAAAATCAAAAATTTAAAAATAAATAAACACAAATTTAATATTTCTAAGGAAAATTTGTAACATTAAAACAAGGGTCCAGGGGTGACGTTTTCACGAATTTTCGATATTCACTATCAAAAAATTTTTCCGTGAAATTATTGTTTAATGAATGGCCGACAATAGTACGCTCATAAATCGGTCATAATTACGTGTTATCATCACCATCATGGCATGTTATCATCACCATCATCGCGTGTTGTCATCACCATCATCGCGTGTTGTCATCACCATCATCGCGTGTTATCATCACCATCATTGCGTGTTATCATCGCCATCATCGCGTGTTATCATCACCATCACTGCGTGTTATCATCACCGTCATCGCGTGTTATCATCACCATCATCGCGTGTTATCATCACCATCATCGCGTGTTATCATCACCATCATCGCGTGTTATCATCACCATCATTACGTGTTATCATCACATCATTGCGTGTTATCATCACCATCATCGCGTGTTATCATCACCATCATTGCGTGTTATCATCACCATCATCGCGTGTTGTCATCACCATCATCGCGTGTTGTCATCACCATCATCGCGTGTTGTCATCACCATCATCGCGTGTTATCATCACCATCATTGCGTGTTATCATCACATCATCGCGTGTTATCATCACCATCATCGCGGGTTATCATCACCATCATAACCCTACCCTCTTAACCCTACCCTCTCTACCTTTCTGTCAGTTAATCGCCTTCTTATCAGTAGCTTGCACGCGTCGTGGCTTGATTTTACATATACACGTTTAATTGTGGGTCATTTTGAACCAATTTCACGGAATCGTAGTTCATTTTATTATAAGCTATTGTTTTAACACATTTTCAGTTATCTTCGAATGTGTCGAAGTATTGAATAGATTTTTTGGGTAACATTGAAAAGAACCTATACGTTCTGGAGTTAGGAAAAGTTGTACAAATCTTACCGTTTTTATTTTTTGTTAAAATCTTCACGTTTTTATTTTTTGTTAAAATCTTCCCGTTTTTATTTTTTGTTAAAATCTTCCCGTTTTTATTTTTGTTAAAATCTTCCCGTTTTTATTTTTTGTTGAAATCTTCCCGGTTTACTATACGCAGTTATACGTGTAATTGAGTCTACGCGCGATACTGATGTTAATATTGGTGCATATATTAACAGATAAAATATAGAGAGAAATAATAAACATAATACATAATATAGATTATATATTGATTGAGATGTTCAACATCCACGCTATTGGTGAGTCGGGCGTGGATTGCTACTTCGGTGCGTTGAAATTCCCTGCATTCATTCATTCATTCATTCATTCATTCATTCATTCATTCACTCATGAATGAATGCATGCATGAAGTCAGTCGTGTAGGCAGGACAGTTATAGGGCCAGCTTTAATGAATTGTAGCAATTAACTAATATCTATTATCTCGCTGACCTGTATAAATTTTTAATTAACTAAAAGCAACTGTCATAAGAATATAAATTGTTAATTACCGAATATACCGTATAATGTTAATTATCAGTTACCAATTATTAATATGGCAATACTGCTAATTACGACCATTATTCATTCTATGTCATGCTCAGGACTGCTGGATTATCAACTGTTCACTAACAAACATAAATTATCAATAAAGAAATATAAATTATTAATTAAATACCAATTATTAATGAACAAATATTGATAAGTAAACATAATTTATTTTATTTCAGGCTCAGGACTGCTGGATTATCAACTGTTAACAAATATTAACTCTTAATAAAGAAATATGAATTATCAATTAACGAAGATAATTAATTGTACACCAGGCTCAGGACTGCTGGTGAAGGCGGACTCGGCGGCCCTGATGGCCACGCCCCCCGGCGGCCACAAGGTGGAGGACCACCAGTCCGCCGTGGCCATCCCCGGCCACCACCCCCCGCCCCCCCAGCAGCTGGTCAACGGATCCTCTGCTGTGTCCCAGGCAGGATCTTCTGGCCGGTCCTCCCCCGCTGGTCAGATCCTTAGCGCTCTTCTATGCATTTTCAGGGTCTATTTTAACACGTTTATCTTTATTATATATTATATTGTATAATATTTACTTAATATTATGTTATGTTACGCAAGCTGGTCAGATCCTTACAGCTTTTGCTTTCATTTTCAGGGTCTTGTGTATAATATACAATATTTATTTAATATTATGTTAAGGAAACGGGTAAGATTCCAATGGCTTTTGTATTCATTTGCAGGGTCTTATATTATTTATCTTGNGGACACCGGATTAAGAGGGGATGGGGGTGGGGGTGAGAAATGTAGAGTGTATTATACAGTGAACAGAGTGATCCTAAAGAGTTCATTAAAACAAAAGTGGAATAATCGTTGCACATAAGAATTTGAATGGTGTTTAAAAAGGAAATACGTTTCCGGTATTGAAAACCTATCCCTACCAATTAATTAATGGGCTTATTGTTTTACTATTTTTTAATAGATATATCATTCGCCTGATATTTAAACTAGAACATAACAGTTTTAACAACTATCTCCAGGTTTCGAACCCGCGGCTAGCTACTTCAAACTCGCTGTTCTAAGCCACTCGGCCCACTACCGATTTAGACAAGTATTTTCACAGCTAGCTGGGTCTCGAAGCCGCAACTCGCTGCTCCAAACCTATATCACTTAGTTATTCGGCCAACACGCTAAGGAATACATATTATGATCATCTCTGGGGAGAGTGGTTAACCTGATAGGTTTTAACCTGGTAATGCTTAACCTGACTCTCCGCTATAGTTGTTTATAGATGACTTGCTATCATTATTGGAACTATAAATCATCTAACTGATAATATTGCATTAAAGTTTGTTCCACTCGAGTTTAACATTCATGCATTCAAATTGTTCGTAAAATCCCAATATATCGAACTTCCTAAAAAATTCGGACAAATTTGTTTGCCTAGAGCCCTAGATAAAAATAATTTTTTGTTGAGGTTACTGGCACATTTTCAGCTTGAAAAAGAATCTACCCAGACACAGAAGCTCCAACAATTACACATTATTAAAGAATATCATTAAGTTCGATCATAATATTTTTAATAAGCTTTAGTTACATGTTTTACACTTATCAGACACTTACTTTGGAGGAAACTCAGCGTTGAAATCACCATTAGACGACATGATGTTACTGTCATAATCAATATAATCGAAATCAATATGTGGTAACTCGAAACTTTTTCGTGACGACCGTACACATGTCTTACTTAACACCTAATTTCTTTCTTGTTTGTGATGTGATTCTAAAAACAGTTCCATTTGGGTCTTAAATTCGTCTCATTAGTATGAATATAGTCATTTCAGTTTAATTATTTAAAATTTAAGCAAGTCTTCTCTCAACACCATGAGCTACATGTCAATGACACTCCAGAGGAAGTTTACTGAACTCGCGTCTCCCAACACCATCAACATCGTCACTACCACGAACAGCTGATTCTGGAGAGCCTGCATTTACTTCTAATACAATCAACTTTTCACTTTATCTGATGTCATTTCGTATAAAAATACAACATTTCGAGTAATTTTGTAATAAATGATGAAGTATAATATTTATCTTTGGTATACGTGTTGTTTTTGTGTATTTATTCAGCCGTGTACAAATAGTTCATCACGTGAACGCACCCTCGTGTTTTCCATGTGGCCGTTGCCGCGCGTTTAGAAATTTTCACAGCCTCAGTTATCTCTAGCTCTGGAAGTAATTCATCATTCATTAAATTCAGTTCCCGTATGTGCAACCTCTAATTATATGTATAATTTATGGTTGCATTTGATTGCTTTAGGACAAAACCGATAGCATTGCACATGCCGATTCAGAAGTTCTGTCTGGAAGAAATAGTCATGAACAATTTTTCGGTTAGGGGCGACGGAATCTCAGTCTGTGTTTTGGTTCTCGTTCATTTCTACTCTGATGGTGCTAAGAAGCGGACGTAGTGCGAAGTTCTCAGTGAAGTTTACATTCTTACAGTGTTAAATAATACGATGTATAGTCAAGGTTATAATCTGAATACAAGTTTAATGGCAAATAATCAAATGAATGTTGGTCCTGAGTTTTATGGTGAGTGTTAAACACTTCAAATCGTGCTGTAAATACCATTCCTTGACTAGTTGACTTGCTAGGTAGTTCGTGAGGCTGGTCACAAAGATGCATGGCGTGGTGCTTCGTCTGAAATTTTTTCTAATTGACGAGAAATGTTTCATAGCTAAACATTTGACTTTTTTGTCCATGAAAAACGACGAGTCTGGTTATTTTGGTTCGCCTAATTTATGTTTAATTTTACAACGTATTCTTGCGTTATCTGGAGATTAAATTTACGGTAGCTTCATATCCTAAGTTCTAAACATAACCTAGCGCTGACATGTGGACTACGCCATTGTTGAGTACTCTTCTCTCTAGTAATAGTCATAAAGTTAAGTACTATTTATCACTATTTTACGTACTAATCGTTAATTATGACCTTAGTAGGAAAGCGTTTTACGATCTCTGCCTCTCTGGACAGGCTGGACTCTCTATACTCTCTAGAAGTCATTAATAGGTAGTATTATTATGAAATATTGAGTGCTAGAAATCTCTTTAATTTACATCTAGTGTATTTTCCTATGAATCTTCAGATTATGAGAAATCAAAATTGGGATTTGAAGATTTTTGGTCTTGTAGTAGACAGGATAAGTAACAAGCAAATGAAAGCAATGACTGGCAAGTTATCTTGTGTTATCAGTTATCTCTCATCTTGACGTTGACTAACATCTTGAAGATGAGTAATTTATTATCAGTGAATCTCTATTAATAAGCATGCTAACTTATTATATATTGAAAATCTGAAGAACCAGACTCTGGAGACCTAGTAAAATTAGTTATTATGTTATCATACCTACCAAATTAATAATTGAAGCCATTACCCATTATGGCCTAGGGGTTAAATACTTCAACAATTGCTGCTCCATAAAAATATGATGAACCAATATCTTTTAGTCTATGCTTGAGCAGGAATTTATTCCAAGTTATTTAAGGTTTTACTGAACACTGATGTAAAATGCTTCAAAATTAATCCAATTAATTATTTAAAAGAAGGACCAATGTATTTTAGTGTTCCTAGCAAATAATGACATAGACTAATGCCTTAGTTGTCCTTCCATTATCTTATAGGTATAATTAAGCATATTTTCCTTTGCCTTCTTGTAGGTTCTTTGATAAATAAATAAAACTGCAGACAAGTCCTGGTTTTGGATCCCAAAATGCACATTTTTAAATTGATGGCCGAGCACTCCAGTTCTGTAATTTGAATATGGTTTTTAATGTTAGTTAATTAACTTTAGTTATTAATAACATTAACATTAGATAGCCTTATTATGGAACTTTCTGCTTCCTAATAAAAACTAGAGAAATGATAGTTCATGTATTCACAAAAAATATTTATAATTAAATATAGTTAATATTGATATATCAGCATAGTTACATATATGCAGATGTCCCTGTTTCAGGTCCACTGATCCAACCTGCTAAATGTTCATTTATTATTGATTTATTATTAAATTACAATAATTTCTATGAATAAAATATTACTATTCATGAATTACAGATTCAAATTTCCTTGCTGTGGGATAAAGTCATTAACTATTTGGATTTCAGGAATTATGAATAGTGATAACCTGTAAGTCCTACTTTGATCATTGATCTATTGATATATAAGGTAATAACTGTTAATATTGCCCCAAAATATTAATAATATTTAAATGAAAATATTTTTTAGTATTTATTCATATATGAACTGATTAAAGTAAATTAATAATTAATTAATTTAATAATTTATTAATTTAATTTAATTTTAATTTAATTTTAGTTAGTGCAATTAATTATTAATTAATTAATTAATTAATTTATTAGGTATCCTTAGTGTTGCTGCTGCAGTTAGTGCTGTTGCTGCTGCAGTTAGTGCTGTTGCTGCTGCAGTTAGGGCTGTTGCTGCTGCAGTAGGGCTGTTGCTGCTGCAGTTAGTGCTGTTGCTGCTGCAGTTAGTGCTGTTGCTGCTGCAGTTAGTGCTGTTGCTGCTGCAGTTAGTGCTGTTGCTGCTGCAGTTAGTGCTGTTGCTGCTGCAGTTAGTGCTGTTGCTGCTGCAGTTAGTGCTGTTGCTGCTGCAGTTAGTGCTGTTGCTGCTGCAGTTAGTGCTGTTGCTGCTGCAGTTAGTGCTGTTGCTGCTGCAGTTAGTGCTGTTGCTGCTGCAGTTAGTGCTGTTGCTGCTGCAGTTAGTGCTGTTGCTGCTGCAGTTAGTGCTGTTGCTGCTGCAGTTAGTGCTGTTGCTGCTGCAGTTAGTGCTGTTGCTGCTGCAGTTAGTGCTGTTGCTGCTGCAGTTAGTGCTGTTGCTGCTGCAGTTAGTGCTGTTGCTGCTGCAGTTAGTGCTGTTGCTGCTGCAGTTAGTGCTGTTGCTGCTGCAGTTAGTGCTGTTGCTGCTGCAGTTAGTGCTGTTGCTGCTGCAGTTAGTGCTGTTGCTGCTGCAGTTAGTGCTGTTGCTGCTGCAGTTAGTGCTGTTGCTGCTGCAGTTAGTGCTGTTGCTGCTGCAGTTAGTGCTGTTGCTGCTGCAGTTAGTGCTGTTGCTGCTGCAGTTAGTGCTGTTGCTGCTGCAGTTNTTTGATGAGTTCAAGTTCTGTTTGATGAGTTCAAGTTCTGTTTGATGAGTTCAAGTTCTATTTGATGAGTTCAAGTTCTGTTTGATGAGTTCAAGTTCTGTTTGATGAGTTCAAGTTCTATTTGATGAGTTCAAGTTCTGTTTGATGAGTTCAAGTTCTATTTGATGAGTTCAAGTTCTGTTTGATGAGTTCAAGTTCTATTTGATGAGTTTAAGTTCTATTTGACGAGTTCAAGTTCTATTTGATGAGCTCAAGTTCTATTTGATGAGCTCTAGTTCTATTTGATGAGTTCAAGTCCTGTTTGAAGAGTTCAAGTTCTAGTTGAATAGTTCAAGTTCTTGTTGAATAGTTCAAGTTCTATTTGATGAGTTCAAGTTCTGTTTGAAGAGAGGTTCGAGACACGAAGTTCTAGTTAACATTCGTTTCTGGATGATAATTTGTAGTTTACTTGTGGTTCTGAATACCTAGTTCTGATGAGTGGTTTAGGACATAGAGTTCTAGTTGAGGTGTGACTATCAATGCCAGAGTATAGTTGAAGAATGGTTCTCATAACATTCACCCTCTGTTGATTGATGAATTGATGAATGCATTCACCCTCTGTTGATTGATGAATTGATGAATGCATTCACCCTCTGTTGATTGATGAATTGATGAATGTATTCACTCACTTCGCCTTCTGTTGATTGATGAATTGATGAATGCATTCATTTTTTTGCCCTCTGTTTATTGATGAATGCATTCACTCACTTCACCCTCTGTATAAATCAATGAATCGATTCATCAATAATGAGTAACTTGACGCACTTCTGAGCAACAAAACTCATCATCTTACTCGCCTCCCCTTGCTGGTGAAGCCCCGCGGGGCTGCGTACGTAGGGCTTCCCCAACGAGGCTTAACTCCCCAGCCGCGGCCACCCTCGCTTTTACCCTCACTTTTGCCCTCACTTCTACCCTCATGTTTGTCCGGTGCGCACGCGTCCTAGCGTAGACGTGTAAAAAATATTCCTGATTTTGCAGTTTCCCTTCAGATATTATTAAATATTAATTATTTTTACCCTTGCGACCCTCACTTTTACCCTCGCGACACTCACTTCTACCCTCGTGTTCGTCCGGTGTGCACGCGTCCTAGCGTAGACGTGTAAAAAATATTCCTGATTTTGCAGTTTTCCTTCAGATATTATTAAATATTAATTATTTTTAAATTAGTAGAGTTCTCCTTATTAAAGACATCCGTATTGCGGTCAGATATTCTAATCGAACGCCTTCGCAGTGAAGATATTCGTGTTAAATTGATTCGTATTGTAACATTCTGTCTTGAAGTTATTGAAATTAGTATTTGCTAGGCGCGTATGTTCGTGTCGCGAAATTATTGCGATTTTTATTGCCAAAATACAGTTTTTTTTGTTAAAATCTTCCGGTTTTTATTTTTGTTAGAATCTTCCCGTTTTTATTTTTTGTTAAAATCTTCCCGTTTTTATTTTTTGTTAAAATCTTCCCGTTTTTATTTTTTGTTAAAATCTTCATTTGATGAGTTCAAGTTCTGTTTGATGAGTTCAAGTTCTATATGAGGAGGTCAAGTTCTGTTTGATGAGTTCAAGTTCTGTTTGATGAGTTCAAGTTCTATATGAGGAGGTCAAGTTCTATTTGATGAGTTCAAGTTCTAGTTGAATAGTTCAAGTTCTAGTTGAATAGTTCAAGTTCTAGTTGAATAGTTCAAGTTCTGTTTGATGAGTTCAAGTTTTATTTGAAGAGAGGTTCGAGACACTAAGTTCTAGTTAAAGTTGGTTTCTGGACGATAATTTGTAGTTAGTTTAGTTATGCTTCTGAATATCTAGTTCTGATGAGTGGTTTAGGACATAAAGTTCTAGTTGAGGTGTGACTATCCATACCAGATTATAGTTGAAGAATGGTTCTTAACACATTCACCCACTATTGAGTGATGAATTGATGAATGCATTCACCGCCATCGCTCTCTGTTGAGTGATGAATGCATTCACTCCCTTCACCCTTTGTTGAGTTACGAATTGATGAATGTATTCACTCACTTCGCCTTCTGTTGATTGATGAATTGATGAGTGCATTCATTTTTTTGCCCTCTGTTTATTGATGAATGCATTCACTCACTTCACCCTCTGTTGATTGATGAATTGATGACTGTTTATTGATGAATGCATTCACTCACTTCACCCTCTGTTGATTGATGAATTGATGAATGCATTCACTGACTTCACCCTCTGTTGATTGGTCGAACAAATCAATGAATCGATTCATCAATAATGAGTAACTTGACGCACTTCTTAGCAACAAAACTCATCATCTTACTCGCCTCCCCTCGCTGGTGAAGCCCCGCGGGGCTGCGTACGTAGGGCTTCCCCAGCGAGGCTTAACTCCCCAGCCACGGCTACCCTCGTTTTTACCCTCACTTTTGCCCTCGTGTTCGTCCGGTGCGCACGCGTGAGCGTAGACGTCCAAAAAATATTCCTGATTTTGCAGTTTTCCCTCAGATATTCGTATTAGTCAATAGTCATCCCTATTAAAGACATCCGTATTACAGATATTCTAATCAACTGCACTCGCATTTAAGATATTCGTTTTGAATTTATTCGTATCGAGATACCGTATTAAATATATTGTTATTAGTATTCACGTTGCTAGGCACGTATTTTATACACGTGTTCATGTCACGAAAGTATTGCCGGTTTTTATTGCCAAAATACTTTTTATGTTGAAATCTTCCCGGTTTACTATACGCAGTTGTATGTGTAATTGAGTCTACGCGCGTTACTGATGTTGAACGCTCGTCTATTGGTGCATATATTAACACATAATATATAAAGGGATATAATACTTATAGATATATATATATTAGCTGTATAGAGATTGAGATGTTCAACATCCACGCCATTGGTGAGTCGGGCTTGGATTGCTACTTCTGTGCGTTGAAATTCCCTGCATTCATTCATGCATGCATTCATGAATGAATGCATGCATGAAGTCAGTCGTGTAGGCAGGACAGTTGTAAGGCAAGCTTTAATGAACTGTAGCAATTAACTAATATCTATTATCTCGCTGACCTGTATAAATTGTTAATTAACTAAAAGTAACTGTCATAAGAATATAAATTGTTAATTACCGAATATACCGTATAATGTTAATTATCAGTTACCAATTATTAATATGGCAATACTGCTAATTACGACCATTATTCATTCTATGTCATGCTCAGGACTGCTGGATTATCAACTGTTCACTAACAAACATAAATTATCAATAAACAAATATAAATTATTAATTAAATAACAAATAATTAATGAACAAATATTGATAAGTAAACATAATTTATTTTATTTCAGGCTCAGGACTGCTGGATTATCAACTGTTAACAAATATTAACTCTTAATAAAGAAATATGAATTATCAATTAACGAAGATAATTAATTGTACACCAGGCTCAGGACTGCTGGTGAAGGCGGACTCGGCGGCCCTGATGGCCACGCCCCCCGGCGGCCACAAGGTGGAGGACCACCAGTCCGCCGTGGCCATCCCCGGCCACCACCCCCCGCCCCCCCAGCAGCTGGTCAACGGATCCTCTGCTGTGTCCCAGGCAGGATCTTCTGGCCGGTCCTCCCCCGCTGGTCAGATCCTTAGCGCTCTTCTATGCATTTTCAGGGTCTATTTTAACACGTTTATCTTTATTATATATTATATTGTATAATATTTACTTAATATTATGTTATGTTACGCAAGCTGGTCAGATCCTTACAGCTTTTGCTTTCATTTTCAGGGTCTTGTGTATAATATACAATATTTATTTAATATTATGTTAAGGAAGTTGGTAAGATTCCAATGGCTTTTGTATTCATTTGCAGGGTCTTATATTATTTATCTTGTATTATTTAAATAGGGTCTAATTCTTGAGGCTACGGTTCTCTGAACAGGTTTAGTACAGTCGCCATGGTAGGAGGTCTGCGAGTTAGTTTCAGCCTGAGGGTCTAGTATAATCATGAACCAGTAATACAGAACCAGTGCCTAATTCAATGCTAAGGTCTAATGCGTCAGACCCTTAGTTTTATATAGAGTCTGTCATTACCTTTGCATATTTCCATCACCACATTATAGACTATATTCGTACTATATCTTTCGTATCCTATTCTTATATATCTTTCACTACATTATAGATTATATTGGTAATCGATTATATATCCTTCACTACATGATAGCTTATATTACTGTAGTTGACTCTGATTCTATAATATACTATAATATATTATAATATACATATTATAAATGCCTAGCTTCACGATTGCCTATACTCCAGGTACACACATGCAGAATTACTTTTGTTTGAAATATGCATTTATAAATTTACATAATCACCTAACATCAAACATTACTGCGTTAATTCAATCGAACTCGCCTAATATACATCAGGGAATGGGTTTCAAGTTGTATATAGTCAAAAAAATGTAGTTAACATTGTTAGTTGAATCAGTCGTCAGTATATCACTAAATAAAGCAGTCTCCGCTTCCAACATCCAGTCCAGTTCCCGTTTTCTATGATACGTCATACGTGTCTATGCGTTGCAGATAAATGGATGGGCCATAATGTCCAAATAGTGACACATGGACAAAGTTTCGCTCATTTTTCTGAGTGTATTTCAATAGTTAGGCATTAAGCTCTTATTTGGGGATAATAATGTAATGTAAGTTAGTAGGTTTTTATGCTGTTTTAAAGTGTTCATTTTATACAATATTTATTAAAAACTAAAGTACATCACTTATTTTAAATAATATACGATAATCTCCATTATCAAGACTAGAGTATATCACTTATTTTAAGTAATATATGACAATCTAAATTATTAACACTTAAGTACATCACTTATTTTGAACCACTCATGATAACCTCTTATTAATCCTTTATAACCATGTGCCCACGGTACGACAGGTATCAGGTAACCCAGATACCAATTACCCGGTATCCCAGGTACTCAAGTGACTGAGGTGCTGCATGTAGCTGCGGTAACCCCCACACCTCCCCCCACCCCCCACGCGGAAATAAGACATCCCGGTACAGCCTTTCATATATATAAATATTTCTACGTAATATTCTTCTACTTAATAAACGCCTACTTCACATCTGGCTCATTAGAGTAGACTTCTTATCTTCATTATCTTTCTTCCTTGCTCTCCCTTCACTGAGAGAAATCAATGAGGTTTTGTCGAAATCTTGATGAAGTTTTTTCGCCCCTTATGCTCCGTCATCCTGATGACCCAACATAGGGGCGTTGATGCTTCACTATTTGGGACAACCCTTCACTGAGAGAAATCAATAAGGTTTTGTCCAAATCTTGATGAAGTTTTTTTGCCCTTTATGCTCCGTCATCCTGATGACCCAGCAAAAGGGCGTTGATGCGTCACTATTTGGGACAATAATATCCATTGATTATTCTGAGTGTTTTCCCCCTCTCGTAGCGTTGTTGTTGTCGTAGCCTTGCGCGACGTAGGTTACGTTTACGTCTACGTAAATTAAACTTCACTTAATAATTAAAATAATTTGTTAATTGGGCAAGCGAGTAATGGATTGTTTAAATTTCAGTAAGATCTCATTAGTTGTTTGATGGATTTTCTAATGAGTTGACGGCTTGATGAATGAATTTAGTGACGAATTAACGTAGAGATAAATTTAAGTAGTTAATGAGTTTGAGTATTAAAGGATCTATGGTAGTCTATGGGTATTGATATGCTGTCATTAATCAGTTATTAATTAACGATTAACTGGTATGACTCTCACTTCAGCTTATCTTTAATACTAATTTCTAATCAGTTATCTTATTAATCACGCGATATCTTGATTTATTTATACCGTAATTAATTACCAATTGATTATCTTCAGCCGTTTAGTTCTGTCCACTTATGGCTGTCCGTTTGGTTTATATTTAAATTATTTAACGCCGTAAATCAGTCGATAGTTGCCACCAATTGGAAATAATAATAATTCATCTTTAATTTAAATAAATTTTTCGATAGGTTATCTTATTTCCGGATCAGAAAACATTTTTATTGAAACTTATAGCTAATTCATAATTATATTTTTGAGGATATCAGTTGTACAAGAATATATCTATGGAACATTTATTGCTTATGAACATGCAAAGAATTGCTATGGAACATGGTAATGAATAGTGTGACATGTAAATTATGTTGAATCATTCATCAATTTCTCATTCGTTGGTGTATCCATTCATAATGCTAGTTAATCAATTCCAGTATAAAGTCATTATTGATGTATTATTTATTCAAGTGAATGAAGTCCAGGATCTTTCTAATTTGTTGTTACTCGGTAATTACGTGTACATTAGTAACGAAAATTACTGGAGTTAACTAGCGCGAGGCGTGGCCAAGCATTTGATGTTAGTTTATACTAAGATGGTACCAGCTAGGTGGTAATAGCTACCTTACTAACCTAACCTAGGTAACTAGGTTGGGTGGTGATGTTACTGCTCTAGTTATTGTAGCACGGGCGATCTACGGTCCCGAATATGTGCGAGTTTGTGAACTTGTATAATGTTGTTAGTTGTTCAATTTACACGAGACATACGATACCATCCATACCGTTGTGGAAATGTTACACACCACATTGCATCATCTGTTTGATGCCGACTGAGTTATCGTTATTTTGTACTCGCTCCACAAAATTGTCTATGAAAGCTCGTAGTAAAGCGTAGTAAATCTCAACTCATTCATAACGTTGTACCCGCTCTATGAAATCTCGCAGTAAAGCGTAGTAAATCTCGACTCATTCACCAGCGTGCTTATGGCACCCACTGGTATACAGGATACGAGTGTCAGCTGCTATTTTTAAAAATTAGTTACAATGCACAAATTGGTCACCTTCTGACTGAATTAAAAGGCCAATTGTGATTCGGATTGGTCATAATTAACTTGAGAAAAATTATGATGCGTCCCGCATTCCGGATTTTACTTTTATTTTTTCCTTTTCATTTTTATTCCTCTATTCGTAATTGAAAGTTTGGCTAATTTGAAAGCTAATTTGAAAGTTTGCGACTGAACTATTAACATCTCGATTTGAGTTGACGTGATCAGTTTCGTTATCTTTTTCATTCATTCATTTTCATTATCATACCAAAATGAACGAGCATCCTTTTAGCTGTCCTGCTTTCAACCGCTGATTGATTTGATTCATTGAATTGTTTTACACAAAGTACATACATTTTGGTTTGAGATACCGTTTAAAGTCTCATCGTTCATACACCAGAAAAGATAGAAATTTTGTTATTGTTGTTGCTGCTTATATAGGTGGCCCGAGGTCATAGGGTACGCGCTTATTTGGACCCTTCAGTACTTATCTTTTTGGTCGCTATTAAATACTTGCTTTCGTGAATACCTAGCCTTGTCATATCTATATTTACCTTCGCTCTTTTTGAAGTATTATATGTACCAGTATCAAGTGTAAAGTATTAAAGTGTTTATTCAAGTATCAATTGACATTTCTGTAATTGCTTCCGCTCTATTTGAAGTATTTATATATGTACTACTATCAAGTGTAGAGTATTAAAGTGTTCATTTAAATACAAATTGATAATTTTCTGTATTTTACTCTCGGTATTAATACAGTATTCATATTTCTGTATAAAGCGTAGTCAGAAGTGGCTTCTGTAGGTATTTTAAATTCATAAGTTTGTGTGTTAAAAAGTATCTGGAGAGTATTCTTGTTTCTGTATCGAGTAAATACTTTGTATCAACAGTAGATACTTTGTATCAGCAGTAGATACTTTGTATCAACAGTAGATACTTTGTATCAAGAGTAGATACTTTGTATCAGCAGTAGATACTTGTATCAACAGTAGATACTTGTATCAACAGTAGATACTTTGTATCAACAGTAGATATTTTGTATCAACAGTAGATACTTTGTATCAACAGTAGATACTTTGTATNGTTGAATTCGTGGCGTGTGTGAATGTGTTGAATTCATGGCGTGTGTGAATGTGTTGAATTCGTGGCGTGTGTGAATGTGTTGATTTCCTGAGCGTAAATCATGTAATATTTGTAGTGTAGTTTGTTCGTGCGTATATGAGTATAATCCCTGCGTATAAAATTGTGCCCGCAGCTATATATAGTATGGCGGTATTGCCATCTGTTGTCGTATTTTATATTCTTGTATATTGTATTGTTGTATATTGCATTGTTGTATTAACTATACCCTTGTCTTGTTAAAGGCTTCATACAAGGAACAGCTTGTATAACTATCATCTGTAACAACTATCAGTCGGTATCATTCAGCCTTGTATCGAACACTTCATTGTTTCTTGGTTCAATACTTCAGTGTATTGATACTTCAATGATTAAAACTTCAGTGTATTGATACTTCAATGATTAATACTTCAGTGTATTGATACTTTAATGATTAATTGTTGAGAATTGTTTTGATGTTTAGTTTGATGACGATTAGTTTGGTATGAAGTTATCAGAATGAAACGCTACGAAATTCTTCTATATATTTTAGCTAACTCTACGGATATTCTATATAATATTTCAGTGTCTCGGTATTATGTGTGTTTAATTAATGATATTTGTTACATGTTCTTCTGTGCCCCCTTTAATTTGTTTCCAATAGTGTATTGCTTATGCTATGTGCTCGTTTGGCCCTTATTAAACGAGCACATTTGGCTCGTTTGGCTCTTATGCTATGTGCTCGTTTAAATTGTGTGTCTAGTGCATATATATACACTATGTATATACACTATACATACACTATAGTGTATGTATATTCACTATACGATGTATCTAATGGAAGTGTCTAGGGCTCGATGTGTTTTTTTTTCGGTTTCCACTCAGAAAAATTATTGGGTCAAATTGTCCAAATGGTGGCACACTTTCTAACGTGCATAAGGCAGACGTAGCACTGATACGGCCTTTACCGGGGCCTAACTGGGTCAGAATGACTCACGCAAGTGCATCACTATTCGCATAAAGTCTCACTAATTTTTCTTAGTGTCAGCTCTGTCCTAACGTGTCTCAATTAAGTATTACTTAGCATGCATTACTTGACGATTGTTTAAAGTATTATAGGAAGTATATGAAGTATATCTGTAACATCTCAGGATTATATTCTGTTCTATACAATGCGTATTCTGTAATTTAATGTGATGGCCTCCAGTTTGTAATGGTAAATTGGTTCTAAACGATGTTTCTTATCCAGCATAACTAAGAGTTAATTTGTTGAACTATACATATCTTTTTCTTCTTTAAAGTGTGATGAGATCTGTTGTTCTGGTCTGAACTTGATTTAAAGTGTAATGAATTCAGTTAATCTAATTTGAACTTCATTTAAAATAAGAGTAGAATATTTCATGTTTTACTTACAATTTGCGTGTGCATACAATGACATTGTATACATTTGTGTATTATACATTATTAGCTTCCAAACAGAGTTATTACTGTGTTGAACGTTTGAGGTTTGAATTGCTCATGTGTAGTTGTATCTCTCTGTTTTGAATTGTCTGTGTCTTACTGATTGATTTGCCTTGTGTGTTTTAATTATATTAGATTACTGTAGAATATATCTATATTTTGACATACCCTAACTAGGATATTCATACCAGCTATTTTTCTGAGAGACGACCGTGAACCCGGAAAAAAACAGTTTTTTTTAAGTTTGTTGTTTACTTTGTTTCTGTTGAAACATCAAAATTTCTTGTAGAATTTCATCTTTCGTCCCAAAAATGTCTTCTGGTCTTTGCCGATTGTGTTGATAACTAACTGTTGGTTTATTATGTGTAAACAAATGATATGTTGTTGATAATGTATTGATAATTATGATGTAGATAAATAGTTTGTTGATGAATAATGTTTTGGTAAACAATGTGTTGATGTAAAAAAGTGTAGATAAATAATGTTTTGATTATAAATTTTGTGATGAAAAACTAGTTGATAAATCTCGATGGGTGTAAAATGGAACCTGACTTTTCTGTAGAACTAGGAAGAGTGTTGATATAAAAAATTTCAGTATTGTTGAATACATGTCTAGTATTGTTGAGAACATGAAGCTGTACTAGTGCTCATTTACGTTGTATCGTACTCAATTGTTACCTACTATACTCTACCGCATGTATTGTGAACGTTTGTACATTTATAATAAATAGTAAGAAAAGATATTGAAACTAATTTTCTACAAGCGTTCATTTCTATTAAAAATAATATTGATATATATATTAATGTATATTAAATGAAACTGAATACGTGTATGTTTATTATTGTTGATATGAATATTGATATATATGTTCATGTATATTAAATGAAACTGTATACGTGTATGTTTATTATTGTTGATATGAATATTGATATATATGTACATGTATATTAAATGAATTTGTATACATGTATGTTTATTATTATTGATATGAATATTCATGTATATATCCATGTATATTTTTTACAGCGTGCAGTGAAGACACGTTATAAAATTCATAATACACGGTGCATATTAAACATCTAAATGCATTCATACTTCATGTATATCTTCTAAATGCATTCATACTTCATGTATATCATCTGAATGCATTCATTCATACATGTATATCATCTGAATGCATTCATAATTGTGTGAATGCATTCATTCATGCATGTATATCATCTAAATGCATGCATTCATCACGGTAGAATCATCGCTGTTATCTACGACTGCAATGATGATATTGACAACGTGCATGATGATCACATGTTCGTGAGACTATGTCGGCAGCCATGTTGAAACATGTTGAATGATATGCTATTTATTTCACTATACCGATGTTACTAGGAGCATTGTTACATAGTTAGGCTGATAACAAGGTGCATAGATTACCATTCTTCATCAATTATTTAAGCTACTATACTTGAGAGATTTTTGAATCAACTTCAAGAACATGAATGATGCTGCCTCAACATAAAGAACATGAATGATGCTACATCAACATGAACATGAATGATGCTGCCTCAACATACATCAACGTTGCTTCAACTGCCACATCAATGATCCAGAACATATCAACATATTTTGCTACGCTGCACAAAAATTCTGCTCGATATGAATGCCTCGAGTGAAGAATTTATTTATACAAGATGAATTTATTTTATACAAGCTTGATTGAAGACCATTTTATTGATAGTTTTAGAATTTAATTTCAGTTTTAAATTAATAATAAATATGGATATGTTCTAAAAGTTATTATTGTAAGAATTTTCTTCAGAATCCGGATTCTTGATTTGAAAATGCCAACAAAAAATAATGTCCGAATTATTTAAAAACTAGAATGGAAATTATCAATAAAACTCGTTCTTTGGTCTTCAATCAAACTTGTGTAAGAGATAAAAAATTTGCACAGGCTTTCGTAATCGAAGTTTATGAATTCTGAAATATTTTTGTTAAAGGATCGGTCGTTCAATTCATTTATTTATTATTATGATTATCATTATTATAATGATTATCTTTATTATTTCATTTTGCTTCAGAAGGATTCGCACCCAGATGGAAAGTTGTCATTGCTGCTAACCTGATTCTTAACGTTGAACTTTGAAAATAAAATATTTGCATTAAAGTAAAAGAATCGTTATAAGTGGAAGTTTCTAATTTAGGATTATAGGAAGAGCTGTTTGAAAAGTAATCAAAGTAACTGCAATAAATTTTTGTAAATTAATCTTAATCATCAATGGCGAAATAGTTAGCTGCTTTAGAGCCGGCTGAAATGGCCAGATTTTATATTTGATATGGTAACATATGGTCTAATGATGGCTCTGTAATTAGTTGAATTAATTTCGAAGCCCATAAAGATAGGATAATTTAATAATAATACTTAACTTGAATTAGTCAAAAATATAGTGAACATTTTTTATTAAACTTATAAAAAAAACTGTCGCGCCATTCGATGAAGCGATGACGACATCAACATGCGACTGGGGATGCAACATAGACCTCTTACTCTATTTAGCCTGAAAAACCCTCATTCTTCCCTCTTTTATTACATACTCCTTATACATTCAACATTACTCGTTCACTCAGCTTTATTCACCACATTACGGCTCCTTTCTCGTAATTTCTTACCGTTTCTCCTGCTATTCATTCACCCTTCCAGAGCGGTCTTCCCCCCCAACACTTTACCTCCCATTTCCTCCACCAGTGGGTGTGGGTGATACCATTTACCCGTCGATTGTTACATTCAACTAAACGTTTATTGTTAACCCCCTTATTGACCCTTTTTCCAAGGAAAGGTGCAGCGAGCTTCATTTCATCGCGTCTGTTACTGTCGTATTCAAATAACCTCTTTCCTCCTTCTGAACCCCTATGAAAAGCAGGGGTTTTCTGGTTCATTACGTATATTCTTCGTGCCAAATAACCTTTGAATAACCTCCCCCTTGTGAACCCCTGTACAGAAGCAGGGGGTTCGGGTTCATCACGTATGATTTTCATACCAAATAATTCTCCCCCTTGTTCCCCTGTAGAGGAGCTGGGGACCTCCCCCCTTCTGAACCCCTATAAAAAGGGGTTCATCACGTATATTTTTCATGCCAAATAACCTTCCCTCTTGTGAACCCCCGTAGAGGAGCAGGGGGTTCGGGTTCATCACGTTCGGAGACCCTAGCTCGGTGGAGAAGGTGATCGCGGTGCCGAACCACTGCCTGGACGGCAAGAAGATCGACCCTAAACACGCGACGCCCAAGAACCGCGGCCGCAGCAACAGAACCAAGAAGATATTCGTGGGGGGCGTGAGCCAGGAGACCAGCGCTGAGGAGGTCAAGCAGTTCTTCTCCCAGTACGGCAAGGTGGGTCATTAATGGTAATTGGGGTAACTGTAGTTACAGTTGGTAATTACCGTAAGATATTCGTGGGGCGTGAGCCAGGAGACCAGCGCTGAGGAGGTCAAGCAGTTCTTCTCTCAGTACGGCAAGGTGGGTAATGGTAATTGGGGTAACGGTAATTGTGGTGATGGTGACTACGGTAATGGTGATTATGGTAATGGTGATTACGGTACTGGTGATTACGGTACTGGTGATTACGGTAATGGTAATTACGGTAATGGTAATTACGGTGATGGCAATAGCGGTAATCGTAATTACGGTGATGGCAATAGCGGTAATGGTAATTACGGTGATGGCAATAGCAGTAATGGTAATATAGTGATAATCAAGGTAATGTTCTCCTTGTTGGGCAAGATTAATCTTCATGCAGGTAATGGCAGTAATATCACTCCTTAGGTTGAAGAAGCCTTTTATGTTAATAGACATGAGCTGGGCATTAATCTTAATGAAATTAATGGAAGTAATGGAATTAATATCGCCCCCTTAGGTGGAAGAAGCCGTCATGTTAATCGTCATGAGCTGGGCTCTAGGCTTAATGAAGGTAATGGAAGTAAAGAAGGTAATGGAGATAACATCACCCCTACAGGTGGAAGAGGCCGTTATGTTAATGGACATGAACTGGTCATTAATCTTAATGAAAGTAATGAAGGTAATGTAAGTTATGAAGGTAATGGCCCCCGCAGGTGGAAGAGGCCGTTATGTTAATGGACATGAGCTGGGCATTAATCTTAATGAAAGTAATGAAGGTAATGGGAGTGAAGAAGGTAATGTAGATAACATCACCCCTACAGGTGGAAGAGGCCGTTATGTTAATGGACATGAACTGGTCATTAATCTTAATGAGAGTAATGTAAGTTATGAAGGTAATGGCAGTAACATCACCCCTACAGGTGGAAGAGGCCGTTATGTTAATGGACATGAACTGGTCATTAATCTTAATGAAAGTAATGCAGGTAATGAAAGTAACATGACCCCCAGGTGGAAGAGGCCCTGATGTTAATGTACATGAGCTGGGCATAAGGAAGGTAATGACAGTAATATCACCCCCGCAGGTGGAAGAGGCCGTGATGCTGATGGACAACCAGACGAAGCGTCACCGCGGGTTCGGGTTCGTGACGTTCGAGTGCGAGGACGTGGTGGAGCGCGTGTGTGATCTGCACTTCCATAACATCAAGAACAAGAAGGTCGAGTGTAAGAAGGCTCAGCCTAAAGAGGCTGTACAGGCTGCTAGCCTTCTTACCAAGAGGCTTATGCTGCCTCAGCCTACACTTGCTGTTGGTGAGTAGTGGTGTGGTGGCCTAAAGAGGCTGTACAGGCTGCTAGCCTTCTTACCAAGAGGCTTATGCTGCCTCAGCCTACACTTGCTGTTGGTGAGTGGTGGTGGTGGTGGTGGTGGTAGTGTATGTGATGATGGTGGTGGTGTTAGTGTGGGTGGTGGTGATGGTAGTGGTTGTGTGGCTCATGATGGTGGTGGTGGTGTGTGCGTGCTGCTCACCACACACTCTTCAGAGCCCTCGTGCTCCCCAATCTCGAGTAAGAAGGCGGCGCATCAGCGTGACCGGGGACTAGGAAGTCCCGAACTCATCATAAGGTCATAAGGTGGTGGTTGAAGTGTAGGTGGTGATGGTGGTGTGTGTGGTGGTGAAAGATGGTGAGAGCGTTTGGCTGTGGACATAATCAATGTGCACGACATAGACATTATGCCGCGCTATGAACATAACTAATGCTGCTGTGGCTGTGCAGGCATGGGTAGCATGGGTGCCACAGCAATGCTGAGTGCTCAGCAAGCAGCAGTGCTCGCCTCAGCACAAGCAGCAGCCCTCAGCAGCTACGGCAAACTGCTGGGGGGTTCATACCCTCCCCTCTCTGCATACCGCTACGCCCCCTACCCTCTGCCCCCCTCAGCAGCAGCAGCAGCTGCTGCAGCTGCTCAGCAGCAGCACACACAGCAGCAGCTGCAGCACCAGTCAACAGGTGCGTAGATTTGTTTCCTTGTGATCGCGTGTAGCTTTTCTAGATGCATTACTTTCTAGAAATTCCGGGATTATTTTAAGTCTTTTTAGCGCATTTTCTCATTTATGGAAAAATACCCTATTGTGCTCGCCATGTCCGTCCGTCTGTCTGTCCGTCCGTCTGTCTGTCTGTCCGTCTGTCTGTCTGTCTGTCTGTCAGTTCACGTTTTCGTCGACGAGAAAATGCGCTCTCTGTCACTCACTGCAGTGAGTACTGAGTTATATTTGTTATTGTATTTCTTTATCATCTCCTGCATTTATATTCCAAAATTATTATTTCTTCTAAGTTTAGAAAATCTAAAAAAAATCAACATTATTAACCGTATTTAAATATTTTCACAGAATGAATATTGCATAGTTTCTTTTACTGTTCTGCTTGTGATACAATCTAATTTTTATCGTTGTTTTCGTGATTGACATTTTTTCATCATTGTTGTAGGTTTTATTATAAATAATTATGTACATTTATTAATAATAATAATATATTGTCATCTTTATTGGCGAATAGATATTTTCCCACGCCCACATATCTAACTGTCCCCCGTCTGTGCAGCAGCCGCGGGGCCCAGCAGCGCGACACATGCCATGGTGGGGCAGCTCCCCCACCCCTCCCAGCCCTCCGTCTTCTCATCCCCCAGCCTGGCCCCCTACGGTGCCGCTCCCCCAGGGGCCCTCGCCCCCCCTTACCAAGGCTACTCGCTCGCCAACGTCGACATGAGTTCCTTCCAGGGCATCGACTGGACCAACGTCTACAACGTCGGCATGTACGCCTAACGCGGCCAACCTCTACAACGTCGGCGTCTAACGCGTACAGCGTGCATCTCTTGATGTTCTGTTTCACCGGACGAACTGCGGCGCAAATCTGCGTCGTCTTCTGCATTTAATTTAACTTCTCTTATTTTCAACAAGGCTCCTTTACCCTCAGCAGTGCGCCCTTACCTCAGCAAGCCTCTTTTGCCCGCAGCAAGGCTCCTTTGCCCTCAGCGATGCGCCCTTACCTCAGCAAGACGCCTTTGCCCTCAGCTTAAGCCTATTACCCTCGTACGAGCACTCCTTCCCTCAGCCACCAACTTGTCATGTTCCCCAACTGAATATTTATGTTAACATAATGCCGACACATTTCTTCGATGTTGCGTTATGTTGAGGCATGTTAACTGATGTTTGTAACATTATTAGACGCGCTTTGTAAACTTACGATGGTCATAAGTGCGGCAACATACCTAAATGGAATCAGAATCACTTACGTGTTCTAGATAGACGAATATCTGTATTCTTATTCAGAATTACACTTCTATGTAACTACTAGGTGTATTTTTCTAGGCTTTACTAGGCACTCTGGATGCAAGATCTTACCCTGGCATCTAGGCATACTAAATGATAAATGTTTCAACGCTTGCGGAAATAGTTTCAATTATTGAAAATTGTCGAAAATTTTGTAGCTTTAGAGAAATACCGCTTCGTTCTTGGAATTCATTTAAAATGCTTGAATTTTATTCTGTAAAAAGGAAATATTTTGAAAATTTGTAGAATAGGAAATTTCGTACGTCCTCCTGTGGTATTTTTTGGTAATATTTTTTTTTGCACTATCACGCATTTTGCCTTCTATTACAGTGCTGGAGACCTCTCTATTTGAGCTAGTAACCTCTCTATTAGTGCTAGAGACCTCTCTATTAGAGCTAGTAACCTCTCTATTAGTGCTAGTGATCTATCTATGCAAATCACCCTAGATTTTCATGTCCAGATCTCGTGTTAGTTGCAAATGTCTGTTATTTTTTTTTTGCATAATTTTTAATATAAAATAATGAACGACCACACAAACCTATTGCTGTTCCTTGAATTAAATTCTCTTGACCAATTTTTGCTGTGAAATTTATTTCACAGCAAATTTATTTCTATCAGCTTTATTTTTGCACGTGTTCCTGAATAAGAATTTTGCAAATGAATAATAATAATCTTCTCACTGAGGCAATTTAATGAAGTTGAATTTATTAAATAAGCGTGTGAATTATGTTCAAATTCTGTCACATTCTGACTAAGAACAATTATTTCTTCAAGTCACAATTAATGTCGCAAGTCAGTCACTAATTGATCTGGTCACATTGTTCATAATTAGCTATTCTTAAGCACCTAATTATTTAATTAAGGCTAATTAACTATCTACGCAAACTATTGATGATTGCCTTGGAAAATATGAATGAAATTCGGGAACAATATCACACAATATTTTGTCTCCTTAGTCATTTTGAAGTCATAGTCATTTTGAACAATATGTCAGTCATTTTGAACAATATTCAGGACGATAGTTAATGATATGCACGGTAACTTGATCACATATATACTTACAATACTAATACCATGTCATAGTTACTGGTAACTCATTGCATTTATACTAGTGACGGTAACTATTGTATTGCTACTACTGAAGAACTACCACAATTGTAAGTACAGGCTTACACTTAACCACTACCATTAGTTACCTCGTCTGGTGGTCATTACTGGGGGTTACCTGTCTGCGTTACCAACCAGTTATTACTTGGTATTACTGCCATCCGACGTTGTAGGTAACTGCTTATGAACACCGGCGTGAATACCAGTAAATGTCTGGTATTATGTAATACCAGTAAATACAAGTGTGTAATACCAGTATATACTAGTGTGTAATACCAGTAATACCGGTGTGTAACACATGAACCGTATTCATCACATTAATAATGTTCATTTAAATGATCATTGATGGTGAACGTTTGGATGATGATGATGATAATGATAAATGACAGCACGGCAGCTACAGCTACCAGGCAGCTTTATATTTATCGCGTTATTATTTAGCTTTAATAATAATAATAATAATCATTATAATTAGTGACGTCACACAGCGACGCTTCTGAACTCAAGATCTCTGCTGTACTTAATGTCTGATTAAACTGATGCTTAAAGTAATGAACAACTTAATGCGTTTTAAACTATGAAGTGATTAATGAGTTACTCTGTGAAGTGATTAATGGAACTTAATGGCTTCATACGAGCCGTGCAGGGGTTTGTCGTGGGTTCATACGAGCCGTGCAGGGGTTTGTTGTGGGTTCATACGAGCCATGCGGGGGTTTGATGTGGGTTCATACGAGCCGTGCAGGGGTTTGTCGTGGGTTCATACGAGCCATGTGGGGGTTTGATGTGGGTTCATACGAGCCATGCAGGGGTTTGTTGTGGGTTCATACGAGCCATGAGTTTCGTGGGTTCATACGAGCCATGCGGGGGTTTGTCGTGGGTTGATACGAGCCATGCAGGGGTTTGTCGTGGGTTCAAACGAGCCATGCGGGGGTTTGTCGTGGGTTTATACGAGCCATGCGGGGGTTTGTCGTGGGTTCATACGAGCCATGTGTGAAGTGACATCGTACCTTGTCTACAAAAGTTGATCAACCATAATCCATCACCCCACGTCTACCTAACAGTCGTAATTCAATACAACTACTTATACTACCATGCGGTCTACCTACCACAAATCCCCCAACTATCACCACCCCCCCCCCATGAGGTCCCAAAATAATTAATTTAAAACCATTGCATCCCAAATTCCCCCGCCCCCCAAAATGTCCCCCCAGTTTCGTATCGTAAGATAACAAAGAACGAAAAGAACATTTGTTCTCATTATGTACAATAGGATTATGAAGTAAGAAACTAATTAGTCTTCTAGAAATTCCTTGTTTGCAGGAATGGTTAAGGAATGTAGGAATATTTTAAGTTGATCGCTGTAAGAATATTGCTACTCGTACGCGACGAACAGGGATATTTATAGTGCGTATGGATGATATTTGTGTGCGTGCGTACAATGATGTGTGTGCGCATTAAGCTGTGCGTTATAACGCATACATCTCTATGGCACGTCACTTATGCGCATTACTTTTGTTATGTATAAGATTTTTTTATTATTAACTCTTGTTCAATAATTTTGAGTTGATTTGCCTTGAGGGATAATTGATGTTTGTTAATTTAAAGCAAAATATCGTTTAAGTCGAACTAAGTGAAGCGTGAACGATGTAACATTCATGAACTCGTGTAGTGAGTGTTATTGAGTGTTTTTCTTTACAAAAATTTTGTAAATGAAATCTGAAAATTGGATGGTAAATCAGGTACCGTTTTTTCCGTATTTTTCTATTTTACTTTATTTTGTTAATTATTTCCTTTGAAAAGATTTGAATTTGAGTGCTAACTGCATTCGAAGTAAAAATTTGCGACAATGTTGCTGTTGCGCCGAGAATTTAATTTCATAAATTTTTCTTTATTTCCATGTACGTTTCCTTTATTTCCATGTACGTTTCCTTTATTTTCATGTACGTTTCCTTTATTTCCATGTACGTTTCCTTTATTTTCATGTACGTTTCCTTTATTTCATGTAGGTTTTTTTTTATTTTAATGTGAACTTCCCTAATTTTCATGTACGTTTTTTTTATTTTCATGTGATTTTTTTTTATTTTCATGTTCCTTTCCCTTATTTTCATGTACGTTTTTTTTGTTTTCATGTACGTTTTTTATTTTCATGTTCCTTCCCCTTATTTTCATGTACGTTTTTTATTTTCATGTACGGTTATTTTCATGTAGGCAAAATGTCGTATTGTAAGCACGACGTATACGGGCTACGTGTAGTTGGATAAGTACGTCAAGTCATCAGTTTAATTACTAAACTTATTACGTATGTTTAATATGTACGTTTAGTGCTCTTATTTATTGTATGCGTTTAATATTACTTTATTTCAATAGACTTTTCGTTCCTGCCGAATTTGAGTCATCGTGTACGTTAATTAACGATATATTATATACATTTTCCTGACCAAAACACTCCCATCATCATTGCCTAGATCAAAAATAATAACCCTGTATAATTTTTTGATAAAAAACAATATTAAGAGAAAATTCTGGACAGCAGAAAGCTCATTTTCATCACCTTGTCTAGGTTTGTATTTTTTCGTTTTTTTTCTACCCTGTGTATATATATACGGTATATATATATATTTTTTTTGAAACAAAAAACAATATTTGAGAGGAATTTGCAGATAGAGGAAAGCTATTTTCATCATATTTTCAAGTTTTTGTATTTTCGTTTTTTTTCAGGTTTAAAAGCCGCCTTCTGATTGGTCAATTGTTAAGAGGCCTGGCAATCACAGTCATGCATTTAAGTTAATGATGAAACTTCGCATTTTATTAATTAAATAATAAAAGTTCACTCTCTTTATTTTCTTGCACTTAGTCATGAGTTTTGTACCCGATCATTAGTATTTATTTTTTGCTGGTGCAGCCTTATTAATAAAATGTAAAATCACATTTTTTTTCTTTTATTTCTGTTTTCGTTAAGTTTTCGACTCGTCATTCTCTTATATTTTCAATTATTTTGTTTTTTCTATCATACACGCACCATAGAATATTAAAATCTACATTTGATTCATCCAATTTTTCGCAAACATGATATATAAATTTTTACATTGAATTTCTAACACATGATATATGATTTTTTACATTATATTTTCTAATACACGATATTTTTTCTCGGAATTTGACCAGTCGTTATCGTGCGTGGTTCTTTAGCTACAAAATAGTGAATCTTTAAAATGATTTAACTCCTCGTATTATTTGTAAATTCCAACAAAATCCGTTCATGACAATAAAAAAAAGGTAGACATGGCCAGTGAAGACATGTAAACAATTGCTTATCGCAGACAATAACGGGCGACAATACTGTCTTATTGTAGAAAAATTGGCTATGTACTTAAGAATATTTTGGGAAAGCTTCAAATATATCGAATTAAAGCCTGTGTGCAACCACGTCTGTCTGAGTACCGATTTCGTACGATTACATGCAATTAAGTGGGTCTCGGTACCAATTTCGTACGATTACATGCAATTAAATGGGTCTCGGTACCAATTTCGTACGATTACATGCAATTAAGTGCGTCTCGGTACCAATTTCGTACGATTACATGCAATTAAGTGGGTCTCGGTACCAATTTCGTACCATTACATGCAATTAAGTGGGTCTCGGTACCAATTTCGTACATTACATGCAATTAACTGGGTCTCGGTACCAATTTCGTACGATTACATGCAATTAAGTGGGTCTCGGTACCAATTTCGTACGATTACATGCAATTACGTGGATCTCGGTACCAATTTCGTACCATTACATGCAATTAAGTGCGTCTCGGTACCAATTTCGTACGATTACATGCAATTACGCGCGTCTCCGTACCAATTTCGTACGATTACACGCAATTAACTGGGTCTCGGTACCAATTTTGTACGATTACATGCAATTAACTGGGTCTCGGTACCAATTTCGTACCATTACATGCAATTCTGTACCAATTTCGTACCATTACATGCAACTACGCGCGTCTCTGTACCAATTTCGTACCATTACATGCAATTACGCTCTCTGTACCAATTTCGTACGATTTAACGTACATATCTGTAAGGCAATAATTCGCTGTACGCTTCTAGCGGTTGTTAATTAACTTTACGGAACAATTGTTCAATTTAATAATTGAAGACAATTAATTAAATTTACGGAAAAAGTTTCCCATTACGTAATTGATCAACACAAATTTAATTCAACGGAATTTAACCTGATCTATATTCCTTTAATATGAAAATTTTAAGGGCAATTTCAACTTGAACTTGGCATTTAATTTTAATTTAAGTCTTAAATTGATATACGAGTATGTGTACATTTTTTGACGGTAAAACATATTCAGAAAAATGCGTGGGTAATTTTGCGTAAATAGTGACAC